AGCCCCGCATCGGGCTCCCTGCTCCGTGGGAAGCCTGCTTCTCCCTCTCTCAGTCCCCCTGCTTGAGTTCCCTCTCTCGCTGTGTCTCTCTGTCAAATGAATAAATAAAATCTTAAAAAAAAAAAAAACGTAAGAAATGGGCAGAAAGAATTTGAATCCAGATGTATCCCAGTAGATGCAGGCCCAATGAGGCTAGTTAACCAAGAAACCTGTCTTATCTCTACTGACAAGATATTCCATTCCTGAGAAAGCAAACAGCTGAATTCATAGCAGATAACTCTCTGCTCCACATAAAAGCACCCAGCAGCTGTTTCCACGTTAGTCTAAATTGACCTTCCTGAATGTGGACCCAGCTGGACTTATTTTTTAATCTTGGTTGATAGGGGGACAGAAAACCCAAGAAGCAGAAAATAATCAGTGCACTTTTCTGCTGGCTGGAAACAGTTTGTTGAAGGAAGAAGGAAGTTTTTTCTTTTAACTCGTGCTATCTCCAACAAGTCTGCCACAACCACTATTTAAATATTTAGGGCCGGAAGTGAAAAGGGGTGCGGTTCTCCTGGAAACACTTATGTTCACATGTTAAGTGACTTTTTTGTTTGTTAGTTGGCTTCTGCACTGAGAAGTGGATGACTCCCCTGTAAGTGTAAGGCAGTGAACTTTGGACTAGAGGTGCTGCTGTGTGAAACATCAGGGGCAATCTATTTTTAAAATGGTCTTCGTGTGTATGATGTGAAGAGATAAGGAAGCTGTTCAGGGTTTTGTGATGATCGCTTGGTGTTAACTCTCCATTGTGGAGGTGGATAACAGGGCATTTTATTTCTTTCATTTTCATCTGTTCCCTCAGTCCTATGATTATGGTCCAGGAAATGCAAAGACACTCCTTCTCGGTACATGGGACTAGTAATGGTTTCTGTGAGGGCAGTTGAACGGGCAGGAGGGGAATAGTTATAAAGCAGACTGGCGCATGTTCTCTTTTTTAATTTAATTAAAAATGATCATACGGTGAAATTGAGTTTTTTGTTTTGGTGTATCATTCTAGGTATAGATTCTGATGACCGCTCATAGAATAGTTCCTTCCCCCCAACATTGACCTGAGCTCTCCCCTCTGTAGTGACAGCCTACTCTGAGCCCCTGGCAACCTCCAGAAGCCTTTATGTGCAGTTACATGTACTCCCCAGAAACATCTTGATGGGTGAGCATTTATAACTTTCATTTTACAGATGGAAAGACTGAGGCTTAGAGGGGTTAGGAAGAGTACAGTAAGATACTTGGTGCTGGGATTGGGTCCTAGTTCTCTGGCCTTCAGAGTTTCCTTTTCTCTCCAGTGGGCGACTCCAGGATGAGGCGCAGGGATAGCTCCTGAGGAAGCAGGTCCCAGCAGAAGGAATCTGTGCACTCTTAGAACACGTCTCTGTAACTCCACAAGATATTACAGGGACAGAGCTGATTTTCACTTGTCAGATTGCCTTTCCCTAAGGAGCTTCAGAACCACTAGGCTCAATGGGCCTGTCTGAGAGAGAATTTGAAAATGCTCTTTGGTCTGAGGTGGCGGGCGGTGTTGATTTTCTGACTTGGGTTTTGTTCTGGGTGTCAGATTCAATTATCTGGTTAGCCTCTCTGAGTGAATCTTGATGTTTGGAAATGGATAACATGTTTTTGGACACTTTTAGCCTTCCCTCATGGCAGGAATGCAAGTGCCACCATAGAGTTCACGGCTTAATGTGTTCATAAACACTGTTCAGAATGCTTCTGTGCTTCCATCAGGTTTTTTAAATGTGGTAATACAAACATCAAAGAAGCTAGTTCTCATTTCAGACCTGTTACAAGAAAAAGCCTACTTCAGAGTAAGGGATGAAGGAGGGATTATTCTCTTAAGAAAATTTTAAGAGTAGATTCCATCTAAGCTTGACATTTAGAGTGTCAAACAAGCAAAGGGGATGGCTCATTTTAGTCTCTCATTATTTTCTGAGGCATCTGGTAGAGGAAAGAATGAAACTTTCCCTCACATGACATGGGCATTCTGTGTCACTGTGTGTTCTGAAGGCCCATTCTGGCTTCTGATGCAATGTCCTACATACAGTACAAAAGATGTTTGGAAATGGTTTGTTTGGTGGAAGGAATTTTCAGGAGAAGAGCTGACCTGGTTCCCAAAGGGAAAAGGACTTAATTAATTAATTAATTGAAATATTTTATTTATTTGAGAGAGAGACCGAGAGAGCACGAGCACGAGCAGGTGGATGGGCAGAGGGAGAGGGAGAAGCAGACTCCTTGCGGAGCAGGGAGCCTGACCTTGGGCTGGATCTCAGG